GGGGGGTTGCGGGGGTCCATTGTTTCCTTTTGTCTTTTTACCACTAAAACTACTCTATCTTATGCATAAAATAAAATTAAAATTAAAAATTTAAAACATAATTTTTTGTTTTTGTTTTTTTTCTTGGCCCAGCAGGGCAAGTGGTCCCGGGCCACTCTGGTTGCCTAGTGGAAAACGGCCCCGTGGGGGTACTGCAAGGGGGTGATAGGCCTACTCTGAAGTTGGCACTTGTGATGATGACCTAACAACCCTGAGGAAGGCTGGTAGGCGGGCCAGCCGAAACTACCGTAGTCGGGTCCACGCCGCTGTTCTCATTGCTATGTTTTACGATAACGTCACGTCCATTTTTTTTTCGTATCTGCGTACTACTTCTTCTTTTCCTTTTCCTCTTCTCCTTCTTCTTATTTTTCTTCTCCTCCTCCTCCTCCTCCTCCTCCTTCTCCTCCTCCTCCTTCTTCTTCCTCGTCTCGTCCTCCTCCTCCCCCTCCTCCTCCTTCTTCTTCTTCTTCTTCTTCTTCTTCTTCATCTTCTTCTTCTTCTTCTTCTTCTTCTTCTTCTTTCTTACTGGCTTTTGTTGGTGGTTGGAGTCTTATGTTGTGGTCGATGATTTGTTGTTTCTGAAGACTTCGTAAGGTCGACATTTGTCAACGACTACTACTACCTATATACTGCACAGAGGTCCTAAGTTCAAAACTAACAAACTTCAAAAAAAAAAAAAAAAAAAACAGTACAAAAGGAAAACAGCTGTACGTACCTTGCAGTCTGTTCCAAGTCCAAACCCTGGCAAGTGCAAACCAACAAACAATTTAGAATCCAACAAAAAACTTGGGACAGTTTGAGGGTTCAAATCCTGCTGCCCCAACAACCTGCTGCACCTGCAGGAGCTGTGGGTTTGCAACTCTCTCTCTCTCTCTCTCTCTCTCTCTCTCTCTCTCTCTCTCTCTCTCTCTCTCTCTCTCTCTCTGGGGATTTCCAACAGGTGGTGGGAACTCCTGCTGTGGCTCCTCCGAAAGTTTGTGCAACATCCAACACCTGCAGGTGGAGCAGGTGGCAAACCTTGAGAACCCGCATGTCCAATAGGTGCTACAACTTCTGTGCCTGCTGGTCCACAGAGACACACACACACACACACAGACACACACAGAGACACACACACACACACACACACACACACACACACACACACACACACACCTGTCTCTTATACACATCTAGATGTGTATAAGAGACAGCACACACACACACACACACACACAGAGAGAGAGAGAGAGAGAGAGAGAGAGAGAGAGAGAGAGAGAGAGAGAGAGAGAGAGAGAGAGAAGGCAGTCAAATTGAAGAGTGGACGGGAAGGACGGATGGGAACACAACAGTTCTTGTGCCAGTGCCTCGCCTCTGAGTCACCAGATTGTAAACAACTGCTTGAGGGTGAAAGACAATTGCTTTATGTTTGATTCTAACACAACTCAGCTTGGTTGTCCCCCTCCCCCTCCTCCTCCTCCTCCTCCTCCTCCTCCTCCTTCCCATCCATGGAGACCAGTGTGGAAGACTATTGTTTTATGCCAGATTCTCAATAATACTCAGCTCAGCTTGGTTGTCCTCCTCCTCCTCCTCTTTCTCCGCCTCTTCCTTCTACTTCTCCTTCCTTTCCATTGAGACTTTCGACAGGAGAGATAAAGGTTCTTGTTGTTGGGAATGGCGGCGTCGGAAAGACGAGCCTGATCAGGCAGTTTTGCAAAGGTGCTTTTGTGGATGAGTACAAGAAGACGGTTGGGGTTGATTTCCTTGAGAAGGTCCAGTAAGTGTCTTGCTCACTCACATTTGATCCCCTCTGCACTTTTAAAATATCCCTTCTTTTTTTTTTTTTTTTTTTTTTTTTTTTTTTTCACAAGAAGGAAAGCCCCTTCGATTCTGAGGGGCAGCATTCTGGTTACTTATCACCGGCAAGCATGAGTTTCAAGCATGAGAAAAGTCTGCAGAAAATGGGACAGCCATACCCTTGCGGTCCTAGTTGCCTATCAAGGGGGAGGGGTCGGCTGCTACGGCCGACCCCACCTCCCATACCGAAGCCTCCGCGGGGATACTTGTGCTGGCCGGGAAGCTTCCTAGCAGCACCCAGTCACGCAGCAGAGGGGTCCCGGGGGAGACTAGGCTCGGGGGGGGGGAGGGGGTGTCCTAGCAACCTCACAGACCGTTTTTCTCCCATCCACTTCTTGACTACTAGATCCCTCTCTGTCTCTCTTATACCCTGTTTCCTGTTATGCCTTTGTTACTCCTATAGCACTTACTTTTTTTTTTTTTTTTTTTTTTTTTTTAAATAACACTTACTTCCCTTAATACCCCCTTTTTTCAAAACATCCTATTTCCTTCCTAATTCATTTCCTTACTGTCTAACTAACCCCTTTCCTTTTTTAAAAGTTTTTTTAATAAACAAAGGAAGCTGTTTGTCCTGGTTTGATAATCTTTTTTTATCTTTCTTTTTTCTTCCTGTTCGATGCATTCATAATAACTGGGCCTGTGCTGGGAAAAAAGTAAGGTTTTGAAATTTGAAGGGTTTTTTCGGATATCTATGTATTCTTTTGTATTTTCAATGGGACGCTGGACCCGATTTCCAGCAGGTGGAGCTCCCCAGCAATAGATGGAGCATTTTCTTCTTCTTCTTTTTTTTTTCTTTTTTTTTAAAAGGGTTTTTCCCCTTGTTTTTGGGTTACCAGCAGTGATAATGACCTCATTGCATGCAGTGTCAATAATGACTCAATATCCATTACAGCATTCTCCTCCTCGTCCTTTGCCTCCTGGTCCTTGTCCTCCTCCAACGCCTCCCACTCCTGCTCTCCTTCTCCTCCTCCTCCTCCCCTCACTCCTCCTCCTCCGCACCTCCTCCTCCTCCTCCTCCTCCTCCTCCTCCTCCTCCTCTTCCTCCTCCTCCTCCTCTTCCTCGACCTTGTCCTCCACTGAGGGTCACCCAACAGAGTGCCAAACCATTTACCGACACCAGTGCCATGGCAGTCTTCCTCGCCGCCCGACAGGCGGGGTGCTTGGCTGGGAAGTACTGCTCCTCCTCTCCCGTGTACACCAGGTTTAAACCAGGTGCTACCGCAAACACCTAGTACGCGGTCTATTGGACATTCCACAGAAAAGCAAAGACTCTTTGGGACATCTTAAACCGCTAGTGCATGGCCCCAGCCTTGCAGAAAGTTTTTGTCGCCACAAGCAAAACTCAGAGGCGCCGTGCGGCCAGGGGCGCCGTTGAAAAAACAAATCGGCGGCCTCGGAAGTTGTGCGGGTTTCATGCAGACACCTGTGCGGGCTGATGTGTGGTGTACTGGTGCTTTCCTTATCCAGACATCAGTCACTCCTCCAGTCCCTGGGACTTTGGATACAGCTCCAACAGACTTGTGACTGCACTACGGTGCCAGTGGGACTACGTCCCAGATATAGAGGAGCAGGACATCTGAAGTGCCCGGCGTTAAGCCACCAGTCCATCCGGGGCTAAAATCGATGAACCAAAAAATGCATTTTGCTGATCTTAAAGTGACTGGTACCGGCCGTTGGAAAAGTGAACACGGTACAGGTATAGATCGGCCTCTGTGCTATTGAAAAGTCTGGGCCTCCCACATACATTTTAGAGCCCGAGGTTACTTTTCAGCCGTTGCTCTACCTGCCCTCGGTCGTACTTGTAACTTCCGATGGAAAAAAAAAAAAAAACTGGTTTGTTTAAAACTACGGTAACCCTAGACCTAACTCCTGCTATTGAACTATGTACCTAACACTGACTATTGGACTATGTACGGCCGTGGGCCATACTCGTATAAGAAAATGGATGAACAGTAACTTCAGATGGAGTGTGTGGCTTAAGCCTACGGTAACCCTTGACCTAACACTGACTATTTGACTATGTACCGAACGCTGACTATTTGACTATGTACCGAACACTGACTATTGGACTATGTACCTAATGCTGACTATTGGAACTACGTACGACCCTGGTACCTGACCTGACTATTTGTACTACGTACCATAGTTGCGGCGCACTGGTACGGTGCGCAGTGCGGCGCGGGGCGCTGTGCGCCATGCGCGAGAGAGTGGTGCACGTGCACGTGCGCGAAAAAAAACAACAACAACAACAGTTGCGTCTGTGTGTGTGTGTCTGAGAGAGAGAGAGAGAGAGAGAGAGAGAGAGAGAGAGAGAGA